AATGACTTTCCACATCGCCGGATACTTGCAAATTTTCAGCCAAGTTGTACATACTTTCCGTGCGCTATTCAGTATTTCTGATATATGCAATCTTTGAAATATATTCACCATCACTTCGTCAGGCATTTGTAGCCAATTTGGGGATTCTTTCATCGCCGACCACGGCTCTGCGGTAGAGATCGACTCCATTTCAACTATGCAGTAATTTTACCGAATGGGTTTTATCTTCACGATAAGTTTCTCTAGGTTATTGAAAACCCTCTTTTTTAACGGAGAAGACTGAATTACAAAAACTGACCCTAGACTTTATGCGTTCTACGGATAAAGTCCTTTAAGAAACACATATTTGTTGTTTCCCCGAATTAAATTGGTCCACGTTCTTTTTCTTTTAAATTACCTTTTAATAATGGTTTTTGCCGTATAAAGGTGTTTGGTCCATGTTCAAAGACTCTTTTTACTTCTATTATTGTTTACTTGTATATTATATGTATATTACTGTTTTTAGGAATAATCTTTTATAAGAGTAATATAATATAGTTTTGATTTAGTATATATTTAATTATTTATGTTTTTTTTTGTATACATATGAACATTAAACTTGTTTGAATTATTTACAAATATCATTATGACCGGTTAATGTCTGTTTTTCGACCAACAATGTTTTTCTTTTGTACACATTTAATGACTTATGTTTTGTTTTTATACACATTTAATCAATTATGTTTTGCTTTGTACACATTTAGTCACTCATCATATGTTTGATTTTTCTAGAAGTTCAAGAACCGAGTTCATGTGTTCATCTAATAAGAAAACTGGGAGTTCATGTGTTCATCTAATAAGAAAACAGAGAGTTCACATGTTTTTCTAATAAGAAAACCGAGAGTTCATGTGTTCGTCTGAAAAAGCAGAGTTACTAGGTCCATATAAAGAAGAAGAAAAAGAATTGGTTATCTTCAGAGGTAATTGATTTTGGGAACTTAAAGAGTTAGGCAGGGTTTATAATTATGCAATATTCTACAATAACATCCTACTAACTCATGGACTAGCTGTTAGAAAAACACATATAACAGTTTTTCGTGAGTACTCCCAAATCCTCAATTGGATAAGATTCAGAGAAAATCAGAGAGAAAGAAAGAGAATGAGATGGTGTAATTTCGTGAGTACCAGAAAACTGACTAAAATTGGTTATAAACCTTCCTTGTCTGAAAAACTGTCATATAACAGTTTTTCTCAACAGTCAAAACTGTTATAAATCCGGGTTTTGTATAAGAATTAATGTTAAGAAAACCAGCCAGGGGCTCTGCCCCTTGGACCCAGCCAGGGGCTGCCGCCCCTTGGACCCTGCTCCCAGGGGCGCTGCCCCCGGACCCCTGTTCGTTCAGGGGTTTCGCCCCTAAATGACAGTATACTTTGATACTTGATCAAACTTAAACAAGTGTGTACTCCACACCTTCCTTACTTGTTTAATATTTATCAATATCATTTTTAGTCAACAAAGTAATCCCATTACACTTAAATAACATTGATGATAACAAATCACCAACAAACCTCCCCCATTTAAGTGTAATCTTAATTAACTTAAAATGAAACATAACACCAACAAAACTTATGCATAAATGAAATATCGTGACGATTGAATTTCACATTACTATATTATTCATTCCAAATATTCGAATATTAGGGTATCACTAAGGATTGAACCATTTCTATTCTAAGTGAATACATGAAGATAATATACACAACCGTTTACATTCTCAAAGTTCTAACTTGACACTATATTTTACTAGCTTGTGTCCCATCCTTCAATAAGCATATCAAAGCCAAGTCCTAACTTCTTGAAGCAGCTAAACTTCATGCC